AGCTTAGGGTGACCGGTGGACCCCAAAGGTCGACAGTCCCAAAGGTTAGTTACCATCTTCGACTTCCTATTAGTCCACGCCCTTTGAACTTTCTTTGTAGATTGAAATAGTGCTTGATCGGATGGTTTCTCAAGTGCCTTTTGTCTTTCCAGGCTCCGAGGAAGGTGAAGGCACCGAAACGTGAGCCTAATAAAGTTTGTTAATATCCCGGTTGTACAGCTCAAAGAGTCAATTTCAAACCTTCTACTATTGCATGGTAATAGGGCATGAGAAGTGGATTACGACGACGAGGTAGAGCGGAAACGAATGTGGTGACTCCGATGAGCCACCAGTGACCACACCAACAACCAACATTTCGTTTCGTGGGAAATCGCTTGACTCTCTGAATAAATAACTGCAAAATGTAACTAGAACAGCTTCTCGATTCCAAGTCTGGAATGATAGTGGAATGATGAAGCTTTTAGAAAGATGACGAATCATCGTTGATCAGAATGACGGATACTTTCTTCAATAACAAGTTTGTTCTTTAAGAAACGTTTGCTCTTAGTCGACTTTGAGAATCGGCGGCAGCTTCCTGAACAGCCTATTGAATAATATGGAGAAAAGACTGCCACACAGCAAGCGCACCACATTACGCTACCTCATATACAAATGAGATTATTTTGCTCGAAGACTAAATCTTTCCAAGGGATTAAGGAACTCAGGTAAGTGATTGGTCAGAGTCGTTATAAGAAGAAATCTTTGTCATGCCTCGAGCACTAGTTGAGTTTGGTTAGGAGTAGCAGAAGCTTTGTAAAAAAAAACCACCCAGCGATCCGCTCATCAAGTGAGCGGCGCGCTTTCTCTTTGCTCACTGCTTGGTATATGAAACATAACCGTGAAAAATACACATCGGTGTTTTACACTGCTTTGCGTACAAGTTCATTATGATCAAATCACTCAATTTGATTGACATTTCGAAGACATCATAATTTTAAAGGACCTGGAGCAATTCGGTTCAACTGCTCTGTAACCTACCCGAGCGAGCGTACAAACGCGCTAGGTCAATCGCAACAACCACAAGAAACTCGAACAGCGAAAAGATCCCAAACGAGCTACCAATTTTCTGCAGCTCCACCAGCCTTGCCGACTCACTCGATTAGCATTAGGGGACAATGAAGTGCGATTGATGGTCGTTAGATAAGAATCACCCGTTGAATCAGAGAAAACAACAGGGAATGGTATGCAGAGGTTTACTCGTTCGGCCATGCGCTCATTTCAGTTGTTCAGCTCTGAATTTTTCTCTCGTATGCGCTACGCCTCCAACAACTTTCTAGCACCGATATCATTCACGTAGACAATAGCCTGCATTGAATAAAATCAATCACCATCATAGCACATAA